CCAAGTTGTACTGAATAGACTTCAGGTAGAATTATATTTTGAGGAATGTAAACAATACTAGATGAATTTTTTAATCTAAACTGTATGGCAAGAGCTTGTTCTAGTTAACCTGTTTTCACTAAAAGGGGCAATATAGGTGGAAACTCATTGGTTGCATACACAGTATCAGAATCTCAGTTTTGTATTTCAAACTTGTGTATCAGTGATCATGAATAACTAGGAGTGGTGTTTGATATCAACTAGACACAAGCTCAAAAAAATTTCTTTGATACATGATAAAGTTGTGCTACTTGTTCTGTTCTCTGCAAATGTTGTGTTGTATTTCATGAGATCCACTGCTGGATATGTGCTTTTTGAAATTCTGGTCATTATGCTTTTCATATTTTTAGTTTTCAATGATAACAATTTGATCTTTGCATCTCGAGAATGCTTAGTATTTAAATGTGCAACCTTTCAAAATTAATCAAGTAAAACCCTACCAAGTCAACGGTTTCCCTGACAACAGGTTAAACTTTGCACATTGAGGGAAGGGACCCTATCCCACCTGAATCTGTACTGTTAAATAGTATGTAACAAAACACTGTACTGTATGTATGTAGTCCAAACCTGTTGCCATATATTGTTCACATCTGTGAATATAATTGTCTGCTTGTTGTTGTCACCATGTACTATGTTCAAGGAGGTAACATTGGAATTCTGTACATGCAGCAACCATTGCAAATGTGCCTTTGGCTTTCTAGGAATTTTCAAAGAATTGTTTTTGTTTCCATGGAAACAAAGTGAACTTTGTAGATGTTGTACCTACGGTAGTCCTTGTTTGCGCATCAGAACTAAAAATGTTATATATGTGTGGGATGATTCTGTTTTGGCTCTTGTTTATATGAGATATAAATGTGCATCATTTCTCTTCGTGTTGGATACAGTGACAATATTTTCTTAAAGATTATGGTTAAATGGCAATGATTACACACAATAGAAATGCTGAGGCAATGTTTGTTCATTATTCTTCAAAGAGGTGACATATTAAGAAATATAGTTTGAATATTTATATTTCCATCCACATCTTTTACTTACAAAAATAAATAAAACTTTTATAATTGAAATACCTTTTGTTTTCTTTGTTTTAATTATTTTATAGTAATTTAGGACATTTTCTGTCTATTGAAGTAAATTGTATTTCATCATTTGTAGAACCAGATAGCTTCTACTTACAACCTGACAAATGTTTCTACAAGAACTTGTCCAATAATCATCAACAAGGATTATTCAGAAGAACTTAAGAGGATAAAACTGGCATTGAATGTTCCTAACAGTGAACTGAACTGGATATCAAGGTTGAATTATATAAATATATGCACATTGCACGAGCATATATTTTCATCAGCAACACATAATGACAAGTAGAAGTAATGAGGAATGGGTTGATGAATTGGTTAATTTTCTTTGAAAGTTAGTGAGAAACAAAGTTAAAGTTGTTTCGGTTTTTTATTTCATTTGGTGTAGATATTAGCAAAATATATGCATTGAAAAACAAAGAATGAAGCAAAAGGTAAATGTAGGTATAACAGTCAGCATTAGCCAACTCAAATAGTCAAGCTGATTGATTTTTATGCACACATACAATGAAACAAAATTTTAATCGCTGTATGGATATATTAGCTTTTTTATTTGCAAAATAATCGTGCATATCCTTGATATACCTGCGCCAAATATATATTATGAGGAAACAGGTACATTTCGAGCATGTAAAAGGTCAATGAAAAGTATATCATCATATAAAATTATATGATATGGAAAAGTGTCACAAATTTTAAATCAAAGTTATCTAGCCAAACAGAATGTAAGAGATATGTAGATCTGTTTGCATACACAATGAGTCATTGATATGTTCGTTTTAGATACATGAATTTATATAAAATATTTGTAAAATATTTCGTTTTTGAAATATTTGTTGCATGCCAATTTATTTGCCAATTAAATTTGACAAATCATATTTCTAATATAGATTAATTATACATAAAATTGCATGTGAATAGTTGGTCTATAGCATAAAGTATATAAAAATGCATTTAATATTGATTCATACTTATGAAATTATATTTAAAAATATTCCACCTGTAAACTTATTCTTACCAAGTTACTGTTCCGTACATCATCAAAAATTGAGGAATATTGCAAGGTTCATATTTCGCGTCCATCAGCAAACATAAAAGTCTTCCAGTATATTTTATTTTCCGCCAATCGGATGGCCCGAGTCAGTTTGTGCGGATCTGCTCAGGTCACTTTAATCTCAAGGTCATCTATGGCCGACAAGTGAGTAGGATTTCGATGACAAAATGCCTGCTTACTGTCGAGGAAAGGATATGTAGGTGTTGGGATAAGTTTACAGACCCGTGGAATGCCGCTGCCGATCGAATCTAGCCCTACATAGGTGCTGACAATGTGACTGGAATTAATAAACGAATTTAAAAAAGTGAGTTTTCGTGGTCTTGACTGATCCATGATTTTGGCTTGGAATTGCGGAGGTAGCTGTTTTCGGAGAGTCGTGGAGTATAACTTTTGAAATAATGATCTGATTGTGACCATTTATGAAGAAGCTCATTTTGTAGGAAATCATCCTGCTTTCGATCCGTAGGCCTCGACGGGGCCTTAAAATAGTTTACGTGGTGAAATCTAACTTTGATTGAGGAGGGGTGGTTCCGTCGTTACATCCTTTTCCTTTTATATAGTACTAGGGTAGGGTCTATATACCTATATGTCTTTCTAACGCTGTTTCAAAGCGTGACACGCCCTAATGGTCGCGATATAGCTGAAATGCTGCCGATGTGACCCCAAGTCCTCACTCACAGTCAAGTTGAACAATTTCATCATCCTTGCAGTTCTGAGATTTGAAGAGTAAGTGGAATGTGACATGGATGTGTGGGTGCGTTATTGGTCTACGGGCATGGCGTGTTGGTAGAATCGTTGCCCATGAGGTGGCCCATTAGTTGGTACTACACCAAAGTAGACGTTGGTGCAAGCGTTTTCTTACTTGTAATCCATCACAAGGGATAACTAGTTCAAATCACGAACCATGAAGGATCTTTTTACTAATATAAGTTCTCATTTAATAATTGCATTTTTAAAAGAATTAGATTGGTTAACTGATTTGTAAATAGATAAATATTTAATGATTGGAAGTTTGAATTAAAAACTCAGATTGTTAGTGGCTGTATCCTCAAGGGGGTTAAAGTACTGTAAAATGATTGTCCTCCTGAGAGCGTACATAAGTCCCAAAACATTGAAAGTAAATTTAAACTCTCCCTTTCTTTAATCGTAGAATATATGTTCGTTTAATTTGTGGATAGATTATCTAAAATTACTAATAGCTGAAGGGATGGTGTAAATCCAGCTAGGGTCCGTGCAGGAAGCAAATGTACTGTAAGTCCCCATGGTCCCTAGTATGGTGATCTACCTTCAGTTGTTGGCAATATATAGCCTGTTTTTACCTTGTATTGTCATCTATAGTTAAACTGTTTAAGATATAATTACTAGTTTTTAATTCGAATCTGTGATAATCTAGTTATTTTACTGTCCTTCGTTGACAGGTATTTACAATTTACCATTAATTACTATGTATAAAATTAATTGTTCTCGTCACGATATGGCTGAAATATTGCCGATGTGACGATAAATTTTAACTCACTCACTCACTCTTACTTGATAATAAACAATAATAATGGTCATTTGTTATGCGCTATAATCCACACATTATAGTCCGTTTGGCTCAAAAAGCGGACCTATGAATTGCAATCTAACTCGAAAACTAATAAACATATGATACTCAATGAAACGCTGATCATAACCAAAACATCAGACCATCTGTTATTTTTTGCTGAATTTATCTAACTTTAATACCATACATTTCCAATTTATATATAAGCCCTCCGTGCCAAACACGATCAAAAGCCTTCGAAACATCACAAAAGACCATACAATATTGGTCCTTATCATCTAGAGCTTGGCATATTTGATGATATGTTTCAATTAATTGATGGACAGGTGAACTCCCAGCTTGAAAACCAGCTTGGTATAACTTAGTCCGGAGGAAATTAGACATCTGACTAGAACCTTCCCACTTTCCTTTGCGATACTTTCTTCAGAAATGTTATTCTGAATCATATTCTGAGTTACCTGTATACGATGACAGGGTTTTATACATATTTTCGAAAAGGGTAAGCAATTGGAACTCCAGAAGCCCGTAAGAGACAGAGCATTGCAGAGACATGCTAAAAGAACATGAAGAAATGCTGTTGAACGGAACACTTGGCAATGTTTTAGCTCTGTCATAGGCAGTTTGTAATTATTTGCCGCGAGGCAAGCAAACCGGTGGTTGATAACGCAAGCAACAGTCTACAGTATTGGAGTATGATGGCACAAGATCAAGCAGGTCTCATATTGAACTTATTCGACCATGATTTACAACCACGGTGTACATAACAAGACAACACACGCTGTTTAAGTATTTAATACAAACGTTAGAAAAAAATCCCGAAGTATACAAACTATATACATATATGTATATGTACAAAGGGGACACATACCATGCTGCCTATATTACAATATATTCGTCAATTAGTAACAATGTCCACATAAGTACCGATTCTGTTTCCAGTAGACAAAATGAGTTTGATAGGGGTATATATCTATATTATTACCTATTATGTTATAACAAGAACATGCACATACACGTTTTCGCTGTGCTTGTCAGTTGGCTGTTGTCAGTATTTGCTCGGAACATACCAGCAATGGATTAGTGATTGCCTTCCGGGGAACATCCGGGTTACAGTTGGTCTTCAGTAACCCATGCTTGTCGTAAGTGGCGACAAACGGGGTCGGGTGGTCAGGCTCTCTGACTTGTATCCCAACTGCGTAGATGGGTGCTGTTGATCACTGGATTGTCTCGTCCAGACTCGATTGTTTACAGACCGTCGCCATATAGCTGGAATATTGTTGAGTGCGGCGTAAAACTAAACTCTCTCTGTAGTGACAGCCATCATGAGCCTCGATCAACGCAGTTGGGAATTGATGACATGCATCAACTTAGTTAACTAGCCTGAAAACCCGAGTTGCCTCTAACGACAAGCTTAGGTTCCTGAAGACCTCTTTAAGGTCGGATCTTAACGGTTATCTCAGTAAGTACCCCTACCAAACGTTAAGCTGTGTAAGGTGAGTTCAGTGTTTGGTCTCCGTACTTTACACACCCGAAACAATAAACACATTATTTTGTGATATATTACTCAATATATATGTATATCAAGTGAAGCATATACACGATCAGTGTTAATAGTGTACATTTTCTCCTGCTCTCTGCGCCTGATCCCGTTACTGTAATACTACCGGGTACCCTGACAGTAACCGCCCGCCCGCGTCTCTTCCCGTCAGCCGATCTGAAAACAGGCAATACACATAAAATTAATTTCAATAGTCACTTTCGCTCTCGGATAACGTTCAGAAATCGACAAGAGTGCCTCAACACACTTTCTTTTAAATATAATATAATTTGTATGCTTCTCTCGAGGGTAATACGGTCTGATGTACGCCTCTTTGATGCAGTGTTACCCGAGCCGGTAGGCGAGGGATGACACTGCTACAAAGAGGCGTACATCAGACCGTATTACCCGGGGGAGAAGCATACAACGTATTTATCTTACCGCCATGTTAAATGTACAAAATATCATTTCATTTTATTTTAAAGATCGCTACCGACTATATGACATGTAAACAAAATGGCGTGTGCCTCTCGACTGGATTTTTTAAATCAGTGAAACATATTCTGAAAAGCTTAACACTGCTATATGAATGGTTAATTATGTTAAGGTTGAGTGTGCAAACGACTTAAATCATAGAATAGTTTAAATAAAGCAGTGAAAGTCGGTAAAATAAATATGTACATAGTGAACTCAAAAACAGCTAATCGAACGGTTTTCGAACTCCATACACTGCATGCGTCTTATTATGACGTCATACGATTGTTAGCGATACAGCTTCTCGGCGGAGAGTTTGGCGGTTACCTTGGCAGCGAGTAATATTTTTTCCAGTTGTCACCCTCCTGGGAGGGGTGACACGGAAACTTGTTAAAGCGTCATTGACCAATGAAATTAAAGTATTTCACATGAAGGTAAGATAATGGTGTCTGTCAACAGCTGGCATGAACCGCTATATTCAACGTCTAATGGGTAACGTCAGTGTACTGGATAAGATCTGTATACTCATAGAAACGAATAAGGGAACAAATGAAAGTACGAGTGTTCCTGTATTTATACTTCCTTTTAAAAGTTTAGATTCACTAGTGTAAATATAGCCACTTACTTCAGGAAACTGTTCTGAACTAGATTTTGCTAAATTTTCCATACTGTTTAAAGGTACTAATTACACGTGGACTGATGTATTGTAAAACAAATTCGTAACGTTGAAAAGATTATTGTCATGAGTTCAATAAATGATAAAAATCAGTGAAAATTGTCGAATTCTTAACAAGACTTTATACCAAAACAAAGCTGTTCACATGCACGATGTTCGCACATGCTTTTCAGCAATTTGATGCATGATCCTTGCGCAATTCATCTGCATAAAGTTTGCAGTTAGTTCCCCCAAGTTAGTGGAGAAATCAATCTTCGATGTAACCATATATATATACATAACATATAGTGAGTGTTTTAAGTGAGTCTAAACTTTTGAAAGGAAGTATATTTCCAGACTTTCACTCACAGTGCAGTACATACCTTGTGAAGAAACCTGGAAAAAAATAAAGGAACACTTGTTCTTTCATGTGTTCCCTTATTCGTTTCCAGGAGTATATTTTGCAGTTAGGTTTTACATGATTCAGATCATGTACATGTCAACCAGCTTGTACTGTGGTGGTTCAGTTGATGTTGGTGGTTTGGTTTATTTTAGCATCGCACTCAGCTATGTTCCAGCTAAATGGCGGCGGTCGAGTCTGGACCATACAATCCAGTGATCAACAGCATGAGCATCGGTTTGCGTGATTCGGTGAATACGATGACATGCGTCAACCAAGTCAGTGAGCCTGACCGCCCGATCCCGTTGGTCGTCTCATACGACAAGCATGGGTTGCTGAAGACCAATTCTAACTCGGGTCATCATGTGTGTTCAATTCATGTAACCTTAGTGGATTCAAATCTACGTGTTGGCTTTTTTCGGTATTTTTCTGTTTAACTGAATGTTCAATGAGCAGTAATCCAACGTTACAACTATGGATGTAGATACTACCAATCCTAACCTGGCAAACGAGTGACTGAAGGCATGAGCGATTTACCATTCATTCGTGGCATGGTGACACTGTATCAGAATAATTTACGAGCTTGCCACTTTATCGACACATACGTCAATAATGGGCCATTTATATAGCGCTGAAATTCCAGCCGCACTTGCATTGTCTAAGCGCACACAACATAATGGACATCATTACCCCGAATACGTACTTACATATACATACATACACATACATACATACATACATACATACATACATACATACATACATACGCACGCACGCACGCACGCACGCACGCACGCAAGCACACACACACACACACATACATACATACATCCATACCCATACCCATACCCATACCCATACCCATACCCATACCCATACCCATACCCATACCCATACCCATACCCATACCCATACATTTTTATAGAAATATCATTGATTGCTTTTGTAATCTTGTATATCAGCACAATTGTACCCATCAATGTCGTACGTTGACCACATGTACTGTACCTATAACCAAGTACAAAAATGGTAAACAAAATTACCCCGAATAACCCAAGCTGTCTGTGAGTCGCGAGAAGGTTAATAGTCATATGACTTGTCCCACATAGTACCCATTTTCTGCTGGGTGAACACGGGATTTTGAATAAACTCGCCAAGGGTGAGACCACATGTCCTTCGTTGTGGATCAGAGCTATCGTTTCGTCACGATATGGCTGAGATATTGCCGATGCGACGTTAAATATTAACTCACTCACTCACCCAGAACTATCGTCCTGGAAACTCTCAGTAGTCCACCTGCCAAAAACGGTCACCCATCCAACCACTCTCCGTAACCAACGCAGCTTAACTGATTTGAGTTCTGGGCTCTGTACACAGGACCACACACCAGCACAAACATGGATCACTGGTGGTAGAGTCTAACGTCCTCTAGCACTGCAGTTCTCGTGTACTGGAGGTTGGGATAGCCTAATATTTTGGCCATTCAGTAAATTCGGAAACGTCTTCCTAATATCCCCTTGAATGCCAAAGCAGATTCCGTGAGTGAGCGAGTGAGAGAGTTTAGTTTTACGCCGCACTCAGCAATTTTCAAGCTGTATGGTGACGGTCTGTAAATAATCGAGTCTGGACCAGACCAGAATTCTCTTGCTGACATGGTTACAGAAAGACAGTGTCACAGAAATTTTGCTTTTGAAAGTGTATTGATTTCCATATGGGGTATTAAAGGTTAAAGTAAGCAACTGCATGTCATGCTATCTGAATATTCTGAAGCATAGAGTCCTGATTTAGTTATTAGAAGAGAACAAATATTATTTCACTGACATTTCATTTCAGTTCCCCACCCCACCCCCCATGACGGACAAACTAAATATTCTGAAGAGACCGTATTTTTATGCGATGACATGTGTCAACCAAGTCAGCGAGCCTGACCACCCGATCCCATTGGTCGCCTTTTACGACAAGCATTGGTTCCTGAAGACCAATTCTAACCCGGGTCTTCACGGGTCTTAGGACCTGTGACTTGTCCTGGTCAGATATACGTACTTGAGCGCCACGAGGACTGTCTCTCCCTGCTTGGCCGTTATTTCCGCTGAAGCTGTCTGCCAGCTGTTTCCGCCGTCGGTGCTTGTTTCCAAAGCGAGGCCAGGTAATGGCGACTTTAGACTTAACCGACCATTATTATTCCTGAAAAACAAGTTTAAACCTTGCAGATCGCTACCAGTTTTGAGAATATAGTTTGTCCCTCTGATTCTCTATGTATCTAACTATTAAACAGATGAAACACTTAAATTGATCTTCTTTCTAGTTCAGGTGAATAAATTCTTCAAGAGAATTTCAGTTTGACTAGTGTTGAAGATGTAACAATATGGATACTGTATTAACTTCTTGTCCAAATTTTCAAATTTAGATTTATTATTCGAATAATAAACAGATCAGCAGAGTGAGTGAGTTTAATTTTACGCCGCTTTCAGCAATATTCCAGCAATATCACGGCGGGGGACACCAGAAATGGTCTTCACACATTGTACCAATGTCGGGAATCGAACCCGGGCCTTCAGGCGCGACGAGTGAACGCTTTAACCACTAGGCTTCTGCACCGCCCAAAGATTAGCAGAGGGGGAGCACAATAATTGCCCAAGGGCTTGACTATGACAGAGTACAAAGTATTATTCCCTGATTTCATCATTTTATATATTCCTTTTCACTATCCTTGCTCAGTGAATCAAAGGAATTTGCCTTATGTTTGTCGTGTCGGTTTGAGATGTACACAAATGACAAGTCAAAAGGTGATAGTAGGTATGCAAGTTCTAGCAGATTTCTTCCTTGGTTCACACACTGGCCGGGGCGGTGGGGTAGCATAGTGGTTAAAGCGTACGCTTGTCACACCGAAGACCCGAGTTCGATTTAACACATGGGTATGTGCATAGGCGGATCCAGATGGGGGATGCAGGGGTGCGCACCCCCCCCCCCCTTTTGTCCTGAAAGTTTATTAAATGACCATTGAAACTCGGGTGAAAATGAAGTGTGCACCCTCCCTTTTCTCAATAGTGTGCACCCCCCCTTTCTCAAAAAGGTGTATCCGCCCCTGATGTGTGAGACCCATATCCGTTGTGACCCGCCGTGACATTGCGGGAATATTGCTTTAAACGGCATAAAACTAAACTCACTCACTAATACTCTGGCCTTACATGTGACAATATTTTAAATGAAACATTATGCTAAGTGTAAACCTTCTTTGATTGCGGTTTATTATAACGTTTCTTCCGTCACCGGACAACTTATAGACAATGGTTGGCAGGTACAAATATTCACAATTCACCTCGTCCAGTGAAGATAAAATATCTCTTCATTTGGAAACTCACTTACTGGAAAATATATTAACTGCTTCATTACGAACCTTGCACCAGGGGGCGGCACCCGGTATGTGATGTTCAGTTTATCAAGGGCAGGTAACTCCTGGTATCCTAACGAGTTTGCAAAATTTATCCAGTCCTTCCGCTTTTCACTGTTTCGCGTCTCCCCATCCATTATATCTTCCCATGCTGCCTTGTGCCACGCCCTTTCCGCTAGAGCAAGTATTCTGGGGAAGATCATGTAAAACAGGTTGTCCTGTGTTCGGACCGTCTCGCTCCACAAGTGGCCTTGCATTCCTTAAGAAAAATGTGATGTAAATAAATTAAATAAACAAGACCCAGGTGATTGAGATACGATGGAAACTGATGGATAAAACTATAAGGTTAGGATGGGCGTTATGGGCAGTAAGTCGATATGGCTGAAACTATGCCGATGCGAAGTTAAATCATTACTTAAATTTTTAGAACTTCAAACATTATCTACAAATTGAAACAGGACGATGGATCAAAATCCCCCCAAATGAACGATTATGTACTCTCTGTAATGCAAGGGATATTGGAGATGAATTTTACTTTTTATTTATTTGCTCTACCTTGGCCCAAGTAAGAAAAAGATATACCAAGAACTATTTCTGTAGAAACCCGAATATGCACAAGATGAACTAGCTTTATCACTTGAACAAAACAAGGAACAATTAGGAAATTAGCAATATTTTGCAAAAATAATAATGCCTCACTCTAAGCAACGCCCCTACGAAAGATAATCAGTAACACTTAAGTGTAACATTGTTCATTTAACTGGATAAATGTATGGGGGCCGGACAAAGCGAAACATGAGTCTCAATGCAATTCAGAAAATGACCTACTTTTCAGCCGATCCGAATTTTCTCGTGTCAAAGTGAAAACTGACACTACAAACAACTGTGGTTACACTAAATTCCAATTCCTTGTTTCATATCAAAATGGTATTTACAAATTGATTTTCATTTTAAAGTTCATTTTAAGAGACGCCCAATGGCTTGTTGGCGTTGATCTCTCGTTAACGTACCCACAGCAGCTGTGTTCAGAAAACAAGGGAACGATTGCCATTCAAGCCGGCAATTTATGCCTGAATGCATGCATGATGCACGTGCATCGCGGTTTCAATGTTGTGTTATTGCGAACTCTTCCCTTTCCACAAACAAATTCATTTCTAACTTCAATTTTTTACAATATTTTATTGGGCAAAACATGTTATACGACAACGATTCATGTTTTCCTCAAACGTAACTTCTGATGTATATTTAAAAGAAATAGGTTCAAATAGTCCATTGATATTTAAATGTCATTTCCAACATTACGACGTTTCTTTTGCCTTTCAGTATATTTTTAAACATACCAAACGTTTGAAGAATAGCTTAATGGACTGTAATGCTTAACTTGAACAGCAACGTGTACTGTAAGTCCCCATGGTCCCTAGTATGGCGATCTACCTTCAGTCGTTGGCAATCCATAGCCTGTTTTTGTATTGTATTGTCATTATGGTTGAAATATTTTAGATTTAATTACTAGTTTTAAATGAATATCTGTGATACACTGATAGTTTTACTGATCTTCGTCAACAGGCTTTTAATTTCTAACTCTATTTATCTTTGATATAATTATAAATTGTTCTCGTCACAATACGGCTGAAATATTGCTGATGTGACGATAAATATTAACTCACTCACTCACTTAACTTGAACATGGATTCTGTTTCTTTTCGTTCGGACTTTAAATATAGTAGTGAAATATCAAATTCTTGGCTGATGCAGTGGAAGTGCATCATCGATAATCTCCAGGGTATACGTTCCGATAAATCTCCACTATAGCCTGGATGCATCAACGGCTCGAGCCGATGATTTTATTACCTCCCTTGGTTGGCTTTTTATCCTATCAGGTGTCTACGCTGGGAAGTTGAGCGTACAAATCACAACTCACTTTCGCTTTTTAAATTATCTAACCGATTAAACTTGGCAACAGATATATATATTGTTGCAGAGGTACTCTGAAAGACTTAGAAGGTGTTGTTGAAAATATTTTTAAGACTTCAGACCTGTCAATTTGTCTGTATGTTTCCCCCAAAATCTGAGTCGCACTGCGAACAAACTCTCTGTTGACACTGGCAAGCTCGGTTGAAACGGCGGCTTTTCTGATTGGTTACTGTGGGAATGCGGAGCCAGCAAAGGGAGGTAATAAAACCATCGGCTCGAGCCGTAGATGCATCCAGGGTATAGTGGAGATTTATCGGAACGTATACCCTGGAGATTATCGAGGGTGGTGGAAGTGAGGACGCGGGCTCTGTCTCATCCTGTGGATTTAATTCACTCACCAACAGACCGCCTCCGTGATGTAGTGGTAAGAGCGTCCGCCCGGAGAGAGGAAGGTCGCGGGTTCGATCCCTGACCGCGTCATACCAAAAGACGTTAAAATATGGTACTTGTTTGTTCCTGCCTGGCGCTCGGCATTAATGGGTTCAACAAGGACTGGTCGGCTCGGAGTCAGTATAATGTGTCTGAGTGGGGTATTCATGCTTCACTGCGGCATGGTATCTCAGTGGGCTAGCACTATTAAACAAGCTTAAGACTGGGCTAGTACAAGCAGCCGCACATACACACGCATGCACGTTGTCATATGAGCGAAATATTTTCAAGCACGACAATTTCACCTCACCTCACCTCACCTCACCTCACCTCACCTCACTCACCAACAATGTTTTCCGGTTTTGTAAGAGGTGTACACTGGCTACCGTCCTTGCCGCACAGTTCCTCCTTCGTCATGGGGTCACCGCTGCGTCGGACGTCCACGTTCTCGTACACGGTGTCAGGCATGTACCCAAACGTCTTCCAGGTGTCGGCGAAACGGGTGGCCCAGTAGTACCCTCTCTCTTCTGGGTCCGGTTCATACGGGTGGTCAAAGTACAGGTGGGTTGCATGCGCCAGGACCACCTGACAACAGAGTGAGTTTAGTTTTACGCCGCTTTTAACACAATTCCAGTAATAACACCGAGGGGGACACCAGAAATGGGCTTTACACATTGAACCCATTTGGAGAATCGAAACCGGGTGTTCGGCGTGGCGAGCGAACGCTTTAACCACTAGGCTAACCACACACCCCACCCCCCCAACACACACACACACACAACAACAAAAAACACAAACCCACAAACCCACCCCATCCCCCACATGTTATATTTCCTTGGCATAAATTGATAAATATTTTGACAAACTGACCTTATATCCAGCGTTAGCCATTCTGTATGCTCGGGTTGAAACACCCCACTCCCACACGTTGTCCCATGCATACGCCAAGACGTCCTCATTAGCCAGGAGTTCCTTATTGAAGGGTTCGAACACGGACTCCATGAGACCATCTTCCCATCCTCCGAGATTCAAGTTCTGGAGACTCGTGATATTGGCGACCTTCCTTGTGAAGTGTTCCTTTAGACTGACATTAGCTCTCAACAGCGCCTGACAAGCTGGCGAGTTCTTCCAAGCGCCTTTAGCAACTTCATCACCTCCAAAATGGAAGGTTTTCAGGGGACTGATGTTTTTGTGAAAGTCAACAAACATATCAACTATGTATTTAATAAAATTGTAAGTTGAATCAATACACGGGTTGATGGCGTTGTCCTTAAACATTTGAATGGAGAGATAATCCGATGGGTCATCAACGTCGACCAGTCTGTACGTGTCGGCGTTATCAAGGTCACCGATGTCAAGAAGGCGCTGTCGTCTAGCTTGCATGGCGAATATAGCTGCATGCGCATGACCGGGACAGTCTATTTCCGGTATTACTTCAATATGGCGAGCCTTAGCGTATCGCAGAATATCTTTGTAGTCCTCGACTGTGTAGAATCCTGACCCGGAAGTTGAAGCATCTGGACCTGACCCGAGTTGGCTGATGACGCATTTCTCTTCATCAATATCATGGCATCTTTTACCTCCAACCTGAGATCAAGTTAAAGAAAAACATGACATGATCTCGTTGGTGATAGCAAATAATTATTGGGCAAGTGAGTAATCTGATTGTGTACCTTTGATATGAAATACAAGTGAAACTAAACTGTAGCCATAGGTCAGAGGCCCGAAGTACAAGTACGAACGATTTTATAGGGTCAGTTACGTACTGTCAAAACGCAAACGCACATTACCACTCACCCGTTACACTCGTTTTTACTTGTACAACGGGCCACAAGATTAGATTTCTAAATTAAACAGTGCGAAACTGTAATCTAACTGCACATGTTGGCGTCTGGATAACTATTTTTCTGATGGTTTCTGTAAAATATCTTGTCATTACGTGTCGTTAATTGTCAAAAACCTGTTAACATTTGGATTGGGCTATATTTCTGACAATTGTACCTTAAATGTAGACTGGACATACAAGTAAAGATGGCTGGATTGCTGGCTCACTCACTGGGGGACATGCCGATACCTTACATGCTGGATATATTTAGAAGTCATCCCAAGACAACGCCTGGACTGACTTGGTCGCCCCGACACATTGAATCTCCACTTTGCAGCACTCGCGTAATGCCTCCATCACTTGTACTCAATCACTCACATGTAATCTCCATCCTTTAGACCTCACACGCTCACCAGACCACTCACGGGTTTAGAATATCTACCCTTCATCTCTCATTTTCGAAATAACTTAAGGTCCAAGAGGTATCCTCGAGCCATCTGACAGTGTAATAATGACAATATCACTTAGGAGATAAACGTACTGTGTTTGGAAATTAGATGAATGTTAGACCGAATTGATAGTCTCTAAAGTTCATTTGAAGCCGAACGCGTAGCGTGAGGTTTCAAATGATTAATTTAGAGACTATCAATTCGGTCTAACATTCATCTAATATCCAAACAGTACGTTTATCTCCATTCTACCCTAACCGATTTAATATCGAACTTCCTCGCCCTGTGGAAGACAAGGCGCAATCTGGCATGAGACGAGAGGCGAAATGAACTCGTCTGTGAAGGGAGTGGTAGGTGCCGTTCGTATTTTTGTTAACATTGCAACATAAAAGATATTCTGTCCAAAGAAAACAAACTACTGTTAATTCAATGCAATAATGTAACACCTAAGAGCTTGGTTTTTATAATCATAACTCCACACGACCGAAACCAGCCTATTGTTTTGTGTGCCGTGTTACTGTACCCCACCCCACCCCACCCCACCCTATAATGGACACTATAATGGAATCGTCTGACCTGTGATTCCTTGGAACATTGTTCTCATCATTTTGGACTGGATTGTGGCCAAGATTTTCAAAGTGTACGAACATAGCAGTGACAGCCTTGCGGGGAAGGTGGCAGAGAGCGGATTTCTTGTGGTTCAATTTTTGACATTTTGAACGATGCAACGGGACAGCCTCCACCTGAGAATTTCCATGAATCATTCTATCACTGACCCACCTGAGTGAGCTCCTCCAGACCTGGAATCACCACCCTCCAGCGTACACTCACTCACCTGAGAATCTCCATCACTGACCCACCTGAGTGAGCTCCTCCAGACCTGGAATCTCCACCCTCCAGCTTACACTCACTCACCTGAGAATCTCCATCACTGACCCACCTGAGTGAGCTCCTCCAGACCTGGAATCTCCACCCTCCAGCTTACACTCACTCACCTGAGAATCTCAATCACTGACCCACCTGAGTGAGCTCCTCCAGACCTGGAATCTCCACCCTCCAGCTTACACTCACTCACCTGAGAATCTCCATGAATCATTCCATCACTGACTCCACCTGAGTGAGCTCCTCCAGACCTGAATCTCTCCACCCTCCAGCTTACACTCACTCACCTGAGAATCTCCATCACTGACCCACCTGAGTGAGCTCCTCCAGACCTGGAATCTCCATCCTCCAGCTTACACTCACTCACCTGGAGAATCTCCATCACTGACCCACCTGAGTGAGCTCCCCAGACCTGGAATCTCAACCCTCCAGCTTACACTCACTCACCTGAGAATCTCCATGAATCATTCTATCACTGACCCACCTGAGTGAGGCTCCTCCAGACCTGGAATCTCAACCCTCCAACTTACACTCACTCACCTGAGAATCTCCATCAATCATTCAATCACTGACCCACCTGAGTGAGCTCCTCCAGCCCTGGAATCTCCATCCTCCAGCTTACACTCACTCACCTGAGAATCTCCTTGAATCATTCCATCACCAACTCACCTGAGTGAGCTCCTCCAGACCTGGAATCTCTACCCTCCAGCTTACACTCACTCACCTGAGAATCTCTATCAATCATTCCTTCACTGACTCACCTGAGTGAGCTCCTCCAGTTCTGGAATTTCCATCCTCCAGCTTACACTCACTCACCTGAGAATCTCCTTGAATCATTCCATCACCAACTCACCTAAGTGAGCTCCTCCAGACCTGGAATCTCTACCCTCCAGCTTACACTCACTCACCTGAGAATCTCTATCAATCATTCCTTCACTGACCCACCTGAGTGAGCTCCTCCAGACCTGGAATCTCCACCCTCCAACTTACACTCACTCACCTGAGAATCTCCATGAATCATTCAATCACTGACTCCACTTGGAGTGAGCTCCTCCAGACCTGGAATCTCCATCCCTCCAGCTTACACTCACTCACCTGAGAATCTCCTTTGAATCATTCCATCACCAACTCACCTGAGTGAGCTCCTCCAGACCTGGAATCTCTACCCTCTAGCTTACACTCACTCACCTGAGAATCTCCATCAATCATTCCATCACTGACCCACCTGAGTGAGCTCCTCCAGACCTGATATCTCCACCCTCCAGCTTACACTCACTCACCTGAGAATCTCCATCACTGACCCACCTGAGTGAGCTCCTCCAGACCTGGAATCTCCATCCTCCAGCTTACACTCACTCACCTGAGAATCTCCATCACTGACCCACCTGGAGTGAGCTCCCCCAGACCTGGAATCTCAACCCTCCAGCTTACACTCACTCACCTGAGAATCTCCATCAATCATTCTATCACTGACTCACCTGAGTGAGCTCCTCCAGCCCTGGAATCTCCACCCTCCAGCTTACACTCACTCACCTGAGAATCTCCATGAATCATTCCTATCACTGACCCACCTGGAGTGAGCTCCTCCAGACCTGGAATCTCAACCCTCCAACTTACACTCACTCACCTGAGAATCTCCATCAATCATTCAATCACTGACCCACCTGAGTGAGCTCCTCCAGCCCTGGAATCTCCATCCTCCAGCTTACACTCACTCACCTGAGAATCCCTTGAATCATTCCATCACCAACTCACCTGAGTGAGCTCCTCCAGACCTGGAATCTCTACCCTCCAGCTTACACTCACTCACCTGAGAATCTCTATCAATCATTCCTTCACTGACTCACCTGGAGTGAGCTCCTCCAGTTCTGGAATTTCCATCCTCCAGCTTACACTCACTCACCTGAGAATCTCCTTGAATCATTCCATCACCAACTCACCTGAGTGAGCTCCTCCAGACCTGGAATCTCCATCCTCCAGCTTACACTCACTCACCACCTGAGAATCTCCTTGAATCATTCCCATCACCAACTCACCTGAGTGAGCTCCTCCAGACCTGGAATCTCCACCCTCCAGCTTACACTCACTCACCTGAGAATCTCAATCACTGACTCACCTGAGTGAGCTCCTCCAGTTCTGGAATTTCCACCCTCCAGCCTTCGTCGTCCGTCAGGTGAAAGTGGAACCTGTTTAGTTTGTACCTAGCCATGGCGTCCAGCAGTTTCATCACCGACTCCTTCCCATGGAAGTTCCTGCTCACGTCTAAATGCATCCCCCTGTATGAGAACCGAGGAGCGTCCTCAATGGTGCTCTTGTACATCCTCCCGTCAGAGCTGTACTTGAGAGCCAGGCTGAGCAGGGTCTGTATACCATAGAAGATTCCTTCAGGCGAATTAGACCAAATCTGGATGACTTCATTGACCGGATCGACTGTCAGAGAGTATGCTTCTTGGGATGAGGTAATTTTTCCGTTGATGATGACTTGTGGGTCTCTCTGAAGTAGCTGGATGTAGCCACGTTGTGGTGGCGCTGATGTGCTGACACTGATGTTAGAGTAGCCTCCCTTGGAGAGTTCGTCTGCATTTACATAAAACATTACATGGTTCATATTATCTATACCAAAGGGGCCCCTACGATGCTTGAGTATGAATTATGACCAATCTACACAAGAAACCTGATGTAAACTGACGTGAGGCTACGCCTCGCCGCACATGTAAGTAGTATATTACACGTGTTATTGAAACCGTTTGGTTTGGTGGCACGAATACTACAGTAGAAAATAACTGACTTTTCTGCAAAGTTGGATATTTAGTCATCGTTAGTGTCCATTTGTAACAGATGTACAAAATATAATGTTCCTGCAATATATCGGATACCCTGTGTCGGAAATATACTATTCACATTTTGCTAAGGATCAAATCATGGAATCAACAGAAAACTATGATGTGGAGTAAAATTTGGTTTAAATATCTTATAAGTAAGCTTATTGTAAGCATGGATCCTAGGTTTCTGTCTGTCATTTCATCTTGTGGATTCCATATCTGCCATTGACAGGTGTTGTGTACTTGTCAATGACTCGTTCCATGATTTGCAAAATGGTTGATTGGTGCCATGAAAACCATTTTTGTGGTTACTCATGTATTAAGTGCATAAGGTTAGATTAAAGTGGTCGTTTGATTAAAGAGCTCGAGGTGTTACCATATTATTATTAATCCAGTTTTTAATGAATACAATTTCAAATTATGAATCTACGTTTAATTAAAGTTGTGAATTTTTGTGATCCTTAGCAAAGTGTGAGTAGTATACATGTATATCACCAGGGCCCCGTTTCACAAAGCTCTCGTAAGCCTAAGATCTCGTAACTTTCCTCGTAGCATTCGTACCTCCTATACTGTAACATAGGAAGTACGACGCTACGAGAAAAGTTACGAGAACTTAGGCTTACGAGAGCTTTGTTAAACGGGGCCCAGGTTACCACCTGTGTCAATATCTTAATATCACTAGGAAGCGATGACCATTATCCTTAGCAAAACGCCAGTTGGCACTTCAACCTCTTGACCTGAACTTACCTTTGAGGAAATCGGCGTCACCTTGGAACAGGGGGTCAGTGGTGATGGTTTTGATCGCTGACATCATCATTTCAAGGTTTTCATCCATCACCATGGTAACTGGTGTAGGAATAACGGGGTGTGGTGATGATCCCAGATCAGTGATGTCCTGAGCCATTCCATACCTTACAGCAGGGGTGTAGGGATCGTACCTGGAGCATAGGACAGACCAGCTAGAATATTATTGATTCTAAGATGCTTCGGTGAAAGATCAAAGGAGCCGACAGTACTTTATCAGTCGATAAAACACTTTTTGCGTTACGTCACACTATATTGACGTCACTACGCTATTCTCGTCTGCCCCCGGGGCGGTTGGTTAGCCTAGTGGTTAAAGCGTTCGCTCGTCACGCCGAAGACCCGGGTTCGATTCCCCACATGGGTTCAATGTGTGAAGCCCATTTCTGGTGTCCCCTGCCATGATAGTGCTGGAATATTGCTAAACGCGGCGTAAAACCAAAACTCACCCACTCGTCTGCCCCCCTCGATATCAAACGTACCATATGCCCCTTATGGTTTACGTTAATCACGTTAATGAACCTAAAATACTTTAGAAGAGAGAATTTACGCGAATGTCAACCATCATCAAACTGTTTATCACTTGGTTTTTTTCTGGTAACCTACGTCTTTACATAGGGGGCAGACACGTCTATAGAACAGCCCGTAAGTTAGCCCTGAGCGAGGATTGTTAATTTAGATCACCGAAACTGTCCTTTTCTGTTTGTTTTCTGCCTTAGATTTATCGTGGGTAAGTATTAAATTTGGCATCTAAGAATAGAAATACAGTTCGCTCTACCACCATGTATCGTGTATTCTAAGATGCCTAGCGGTTAGAACAATCGAAAAAAACAAACATTATCAGACAATAAAGGTATAGTTTTTGGATGACGTAACAATTGAATGACGTTATCCCGTCACTGCGCCATTCTAGTGTGCCCCCCTCGTAATCGAACCATTTTACATTATGTCACAATGTAAGCGACGTCACGATGCATGTCACTTGTCATCGCCAAGTACGGCCTGCTACAGTAAACTACTCCGTTGCATCCCGTTTCTTGGTTTGCAGTTGCTTCACGCAGCTAACATAGCTGGTGGAAACATTACGTTTATGTTTTACGACGGTTAAAATGTGTCAATTCGACGCACAAGTTTTCAGCGACACGGTGACGTTCGCAATGTTTACATTCCCAGAAAGCAATCGTAGAATGTCGCTTGACTACTCAGCTTCATCTGGATGTACTGATCTAAACTTACGTTTGTAGTAGAAATGCGACGTTCATATTGCCCCATATGGTTTACGTTAATGACAGATGTAATTAAAATAATTCAGAGAAGATATTTAATCCGAAGGTAAACCGTCATCAAACTCTTATCATTTGTTTTTTTCTGGTAACGTTCGTCTTAACATAGGGGGGTGCAGACACATCAATAGAACAGCGCGCCAGTTAGCCCTGTGCGAGTATTCTTAATTAAGGTCACCGACACCGTCGTTTGTTTTCTGCCTTAAATTACTCGTAATTATCCTTAGAAAGTATTAAATTTGGCATCCCAAGCGTCCTCGTACATTAACTATAATAGTTCAGGGCGAAAGTGTGTTTTATGACACTATACATGGTGGTAGAGCGAACTGTATTTCTTAAATATAGCACACTTTCGCCCTGAACTATTATAACGTTAAAGCACTCGCACGCAAGCCTCCTCGTACCTTAACGAGCAGAGCAGCAGTGAAGCAAACACGGATTCAGTTTACCATCTGCTGGTTAAACGATTTCTTGTCTCAACAGGTTCGATCATTTACAGACCACCGCCATATAGCTGGTATGTTGCTAAGTGCGGCGTAAAACTAAACTCACTCATATCTCAAACCTGTGCTGTTTAACGAATAAACACCAATAGCAAAATGTAGAACGCTCCATTTTGTTGAAGTGTCGGTATTTATTTCATATTGTTTTCATTTTATTTTATTTTTTCATTTTATTTTTTTGTGATTAGGAACTACAGCTACAACTGCTTAGAGACTTCTGAAGCTATGACTAATATTTGTCATGGTTTTATGCTTCGGGTGGACACCCAAAAAGGTCAGTAAGATTTCCAAGGGTTAACATAATAAGCATCACTGGATGTACGGTAAATATACTGGAATTGGGAATTTTCTTTGTTTTATTGTGGGAGGTATTTTGTGAAAATCTGAAAACTTTATATTCCAAATTTGTTGTATCTCAAAATCAATGTTTCAGTTTCGACGAAGTATAAACCTTACGTTAAAATTAAGGAAATTATGTTATCAAATTAAGGAAACTATATTATCAAATTAAGGAAACTATATTATCAAATTAAGGAAAGTATATTATTAAATTAAGGAAACTATATTATCAAATTACGATAACATATCCTAAACCTCATAGCACAATAAATGCATCACATTATGCAAATAATATTCGTTTACCTGTCTTTCAGACCAGGAGTGTCATACCGCTTCCATTGGTTGACTGTAGTAAAGTCCCCCACGAACTCTAGCCCAGGTCCCTTGGTACTGGCGATAGTGCGAGCCTTGAGTCCTTCCGCCCACATATACCAGTTTGGCATCATGTCCGTCTTGGACACGGACCAGTTCTGAATCCGGAACTTAACTTTCCGCACCTCGTTCGACTTCAGTGGCTTAAAATCAATTGTTGGTTCCATCTTAAACAGGCATCCTTTAACATGTTTCATTGTCATGTGTTGCAGCTTCAGTTCTGGCTGGTCATCTGGCACCATGTAGATGCCGCAGTAATGGATGCCCCAGTTGCCCTTGACCACGTCTTCTGAACCTGTGTTCTTCAGAGTGACTTCTGCAAGATACGTTCTGGTGCCATCCTGGAAGTTGTCCAAGACTGAGTAACCGAGGGTGATGTTTTCTGCCATGTAGTCAATGACAGACTGGTCTACCATCGCCAGAGGTTCGCCTGGAGGTTGAAGAAAACATGCATGACTGGAATGCATGTCACTGGTGATCCTATACAGCTGTTTTCCTTCAAAAACTGTACATAATGTGCAACCTTTGAACAACCCTTTACCTGTATTAGACGAGGTACTATTCTCATCTTGAACAACCCTTTACCTGCATTAGACGAGGTACTATTCTCATCTTGAACAACCCTTTACCTGTATTAGACGAGGTACTATTCTCATCTTGAACAACCCTTTACCTGCATTGGACGAGGTACTATTCACATCTTGAACAACCCTTTACCTGTATTAGACGAGGTACTATTCTCATCTTGAACAACCCTTTACCTGTATTAGACGAGGTACTATTCTCATCTTGAACAACCCTTTACCTGTATTAGACGAGGTACTGTTCTCATCTTGAACAACCCTTTACCTGCATTAGACGAGGTACTATTCTCATCTTGAACAACCATTTACCTGCATTAGACGAGGTACTATTCTCATCTTGAACAACCATTTACCTGTATTAGACGAGGTACTATTCTCATCTTGAACAACCCTTTACGTGCATTAGACGAGGTACTATTCTCATCTTGAACAACCCTTTACCTGCATTAGACGAGGTACTATTCTCATCTTGAACAACCATTTACCTGTATTAGACGAGGTACTATTCTCATCTTGAACAACCATTTACCTGCATTACACGAGGTACTATTCTCATCTTGAACATGCAACAATGATCAATCCTTTAGAGTGAGTGAGTGAGTGATTATGGTTTTACGCCGCTTTTAGCAATATTCAAGCAATATCACGGCAGGGGACACCAGAAATACGCTTCACACATTGTACCCATGTGGGGAATCGAACCCGGGTCTTCGGCGTGACGAGCGAACGATTTGATCACCGCCCCCAATCCTACGGAAATCATAACAGTCATAATACGATCAAAGGCAATTATCAGTTGATATTATATAGGTATTTATATGGCGCTATAGTCCATCCCACATGCATGCTCAAAGCCCTTCTTTGTTTTTCCCTCGAACATCGGATGTCAATCTCAGCGGCACATCATATTATCAATCTCAACTCCCTGGGGATCATACAACTCTTGCAGCCACTAGGCGCACCAAGTTAATGTGTCTTTCCCATCCAAACAAGGTACCCATTCACAGCTGGTTGAATTGGACTGGGACACATAGTCACAGTACTTTGTACAAGTTTACTGCACGTTGCTGTACCCGCATCTAGGTGTTTGCACGTACTCATGTGGCCACCATCTGGTCATTTACCAACGGATGCGTGGGTTCTTGTACGTGCACAGGGTTCATTCGTAGCTACTCGTCCCTTTATTTAACCTGAAAGAAGACTCGTACCCCTCTAGTAGCCATTTTACTGAACTTGAATCTCTCTGGCATCCACGCCAAGGAAGTTACCTCAAAGGGTATGTTTAACATGCTGAAATACTTTCCTAAGCCATCATGTTATAACCAGGGGGACTATGCAATAATTAACATATACTCGAAGTGTCTGGGAAAAAGTTATGCAAGCCGAAATGAAAATTATTTCAACTAACAATTTTCACCCAATTTCTTCTCAACATTCGCGCATTCTGACTGGCTGGGGGAGTATTTCTGCCGGACATGGCTACGAGAAAGGTACGAGTCTTCTTTCAGGTTACGGAAAGGGACGAGTAGTTACGAATGGCACAGGGTTGTGTACTGTACACTATGGTTGTGACAACACTATAAGAGTCTTCCCACAAAATTGACTCGAAGCTTTTTACGCCCGGTCACAGGTGGGCTCGATCCCGGCACCTCAACCTCGCTGGATCACTAGCTTGGAGCCCTAGACATCTGGCCCACCACGCCCCCATGACACAATAGACTAAAGAAACAAACGCAGACCCATTCCTACGTTTTGATAATGTCACCAAAACTTCGCTATAAGCATGAAATCAGGTAGCAGCTCGATTCGATATATTCGATTACAAATTGATAAGCATTTCCGGTTGATGTTATGTCCGATTTGGGAAACATACGGCCATAAGATAATGCCAGCTTGGTTGACAAGAACTGCAGCTCGAAATATCCCGACATAAGCTGTAATCTGCGGTAAGAACATGTACCACGTTCATTTTATGGTTTGGAATAAGGGTGCCCGTTGGCTATTTACAACAGATGTGGATGACGTTTTCGACAGTGACACCACAAATACTCACGTCCTTGAAGCTTTACAACCCGGCTGAACCACTGTTTGTTGGTGGATCTGAAGCAGAAATTCCCAGACGTCACAGAAGGACTTTCACTTTGGGACTAACGCAGTTTAGTGACATTTCATATTCTAATGTAAGTTGTTTGTGACAAATATACTACCCATCAAAAGTTTAGACTCACTAGTGTTAATATAGCCACTGACTTCCGTCAACTGTTCTAAACTTGATTTCGCAAAATATTCTATACAGTTTAAAGGTACTGTTTGCACATGAACTGATGTATTTTAAAACAAATTCATAATGTTTAAAAAATTATTGTCATGAGTTCAGTAAATGATTAAACTCAGTGGAAATTGGCAAATTCTAAACAAAACTTTACACCAGAACGCAGCTGTTCACATGCACGATATTTGCACATGCTTTTCAGCAATTGGATGCATGATCGTTGTGCAATTCCTCTGCATAATGTTTGCAGTTGGTTCCCCCAAGGTAGTGGAGAAATTCATCTTCGATGTAACCATATATATATATATGCATAACACATAGTAAGTGCTTTAAGTGAGTCTAAACTTTTGATGGGTAGTATAGTAAATATTTTGTGTCGCTGATCCAAAGCAAGTTTTACTATATAATGTATTATATGATTGGGATAGGAGGGGCACTTCATTTTCACAAAACCTGAGGCTTTCTAATTATGTCCATCTACATTTTCTGAAATACTAAAGTCCCATCACCAAAGAATATCAATCCGATAATGTCAGACGTCAGTATGTCCAGACTTATTGTGGTAAACAATCTGGTGAGGATTGGGTTGTCGCATAAGGTAAAACAACATTGTCAAACATCTACAGGCCATAGAGACACGCAATTGTGTCTTCCTAGATTAAGCTCTATTCACCGAGTCCGGGGGGCGGTGGGGCAGCCCAGTGGTTAAAGCGTTCGCCCGTCACGCCGAAGACCCGGGTTCTATTCCCTGTAAAGGTACAATGTGTGAAGCTCATTTCTGGTGTCCCCCGCCGTGATATTGCTGGAATATTGCTAAAAGCGGCTTAAAAACAAACTCACTCACTGACTACAATAGTAGTTTGTTCAGTGAAATGATGTCTCTAGTTAGTAGTTCAAATTGCAGTCTGATAATTTGGTTGACGGTTGACGCTTGACGTTGTGTGGTTACAACCAATATAGTTTTGTTATTTTACCAAAATGTAGGCCATCCATTTTTAGATAGGTAGCATTGTGGTTAAAGAGTTCGCTGAATACATCGGTTCGATTCCAACATTGATTTAATGTGTGCGAAGAACCATGCTCTCTCCATTAGGTTTTTAAACACCTCTAAACTCACTCACTCACTCACTCACTCACTCACTCACTCACTCACCTAGTCCGGAGATGCAGAGTGTCCCAGGGTTTTACCAAGACGTTGGTGTTAGCTTTAAACCACGTATTCCCGCCGTCCTTGCTGTACTGGGCAGTCAGACCCGGGTAGGTTGTGGTCACCTTCAGAAACCCATTCTCTTCCCTGTGAATACATTCGTATGAGCACATTGAGTGTATTATGTTGGTTGGTTGGTTGGTTGGTTGTTGAACACCACACTCAGCAATATTCCAGCTATATGGCTGCAGTCTGTACATAAACGATTCTGGCCCTGCCAAACCAGTGATCAACATCATGAGCATCGATCTGCGCAATTGGGATACGATTTCATGACAATCCAGCAAGCGAGCCCGACCACCCGATCACGTTATTCGACTCTTACAAGCATGGGTTGACCAATTCTAACCTGGTCGTGTATATAGTGTCACGCCACTGAATATTACATACTACTTACGAAAAGAAAATGAAGGACCATCACAATCCTTCCATGACGACCAAGATTATATTTGCAAACTATAACAGATCAAATAGTACAATGATCAGTTCTCAGTGGTGTATATCGTAAACACGACAGAACAATACAAAGCTTCCTTCGCAGGATCGACCTCCCTCTCCACAAACGTGGGTTTCCAGCAATGTTTTTTCAGCCAGAATCCATAGTTGAATTGACTGAAATTAATATTCTCACACACCTGTGGGGGGAACCCTTGTGCAGTAACTGATCAAATGCATGTGTGATGACAGATTCTTGGGCCATGATTGGCTACTCCATGGTGATGACCTAAGGTCAGATTATGACTACGTTCCTGATTTTCATTTACTTATGATTTTCTCATGACGTAGGCGAACTCACTTAGGTATGTGTCGAAAATTCACGGTTTTAGAATGTAAATAAGGGACAAGGTATGATAAAGGCCCTTATTGGGCAAAACATTTCATGATATTCAAAGATCTACAACATGATAATTTTCGCATAAAAAATGCTAAATAAATTGTTGAAATTACCTCCATATGCTTTTTTTATGTTTTAGTGCTGTTTTTTCCTCTTTGAAGACCTCAAAGTTAACCTATTTTACAATATCTTCGAAAAACCTCCATTTCCATATTTTCAGAGTGATAAAAAAGTGTGAGCAAAAACACGACCCATCCCAATGTTTTAACCGCACATGAAGAGAGTAAATTAGAATGAACTCCTAAACAATTGTGGTGGGTCACGTTTTTTGCTCATATCAAAATGTTTTAAAAAAGTACATTTTTACTGTTATATGAAATTGCCCCATACAACATCTCAAAAATAAACATAAGTAATATATCTGAAAACTATCTGTCACATTTACACAACTATACCATGATTCATTATTTATTTTGAATGTTTTAGAGCACTAAAGTGAACTTATCAAACATGTTTATTAAAAAAATTCAAAATCGTAAGGGACTCTCAAGACTGATTTACTGAGGTAAACAAGGGTAATTTTTGGAGACCCTGTTGATCTCTGCTGGAAAAGTAAGAAGACACAGAAGAGTTTTCAAAATATGATCAGGCAGCATTTTAAAGGTGAGAATCTTTGTAATTATGCTAGAATTTTATCACATTTGTTCTATCATCTGTTTAGCAAACCCCTCTGAGTCACCTGTCACTGTCAAATATAACACTGGCATTCCACGGGATGTAACTGTGTATAAACATACACATTTTAACGAAAATAATGTCCCTTGATGTTTTCTAGGATATACATGCATTATGCTACATTACATATTGTTAGAATAAGAACATTGTATCAAGGTCTAGCAGATGATGAAAAGCCAGCAGACGCAAAGTGACACATTGTTGCAAGATGTAATATATAAGCTTAAAGTAACAAATAATGATAGTAGAATTTGTAGCCTAGTGTTACAGTGATTGCCTAGTGTTATAGTGATTGTCTGTTGTCAGACATACAGGTTCAAATCCTCATAATGCTATTTTTTCTTTTCTTTTTTTTTCAAAAGTTTGGTCAGCCAATTTACAATGTTTAACTTAACTTGTACACATGAAATCAAATTTTATATAAGAAATTCTTAAGTTTTTCTTAAGTTTGGTAATGTCAAGTTATCTTGTTTCAAACAAACTTGAATTAACACTCTATCTTAAATCTTGTTTAAGAACCTGAAGAAGGTGACTTTTCCACTCTGTCTCGTTGTAATTTGTTCCCACACAATAAAGAACCCGGAGAAGGTAAGCATTGTTTCAAATTGTTAGTATGGTAATTTCTTTCAAATATCATCTTCTAAAATGCCAATTAAGCATCAAATCTGTCCAGAGCTGTTAATTAGTGGTGTACTGATCAAACGAATAATTAGTTTATGGATTTTTGTGGGCTGCAAGTCAATTGCCGATGACCAAAACACATAATCAATTAAAGCGTTCATTATTTCTTCTTAAAAATATGTTTACAGAATCAATGACTATTGGTTTCAATTGTCATATTGAAACTGAGGACTGATTACCTTTGTTTTCATGTGCTCTAACAGTTGTTTTTATCTTATATCTATAATTGATCAAAAGGTGGCCTCAACAATTGATTATGCTTTTGGAGGTCAATTCCCTTCCTTATATCACTATACTATTGACATATTTAGCATTAGAAAAATTAGAAATCACCAATTTCTTGAACATTATGATAATTCTTTTATGATTTCAAATATTTGTTTTCAGATACGAGAAATTTGCTTGGACTGATTTCAGGAGTTTCATTTCATGAAGATGACAACTTAAAAACTTGAGGTTGAAGGTAAACATAATATGTGTGTTAAAAAATAATCAATATTATTTTTTTTCAATTTTCTGATTTAATGTGACAGAATTTCAGAAATACTGATGCCTCAGTGGTGATTAAATCTGCATAAGCCTTCAAAGCCAGACTACTGACATTTGAAAATAAATAAGTAATGTTACCCTTGCATAGATTTATAATATCAAAGTTATTAAAACAGGATTTTCTTTTGATATAAAGTCATCTGTTCTTCAGTTGAGAGAAGATCTGGGTATGGCAGACACCAAGACAATATGCCTTTTTCCAGCAACTCTAGTGATACACGGTTGAATGCTGCAGTCCTTGACAGTGATTCAGAAACTGAGATTGATGACCGTGTGGATGAAGAGTGAAAGTGGATGTTTTATATATCTTTGCAGTGAATGAGTTGTGAATAATTACTTTTTGAAGATTTTTGAATACTGACGTTTAACACTTACACTTACTTGGTGTCAAAATCAAGATGTGCCAAGAATGTAATTTCACCCGAAATGGGCCCCCTTTGAGGTCAAGACCTGTGATTTTTAGTGCAACATGATTGGTTATTCTAATAACATGTTGTGAATGAGATGTTTACTGTATATTTGCTAAAACTGGTTGTGAATACTGACTTTTAACACTTACTTGTTAAAATCAAGCTGTGCCCAAAATGTATATTAGACCCAAAATGGGCCCCTGTGATTTTTAGTGGGACATGATTGGTTATCATAAGTACATGTTGTAAAATTGACCTATAGTTTATATTTGCAAAGAAAATTGTGAATAATGAGGTTTTTTGTAATCAATTGGCAAGTAATTGAATTACTGTCCACAATGTATTGCAACCCTAATTGGGCCCCTTGAAGTTAAAACCTTGTGATTGATGTTGACATGTTTCTTCTTCATGAATACCTGTTGTAAAACTGATACTATTTGTATGTAAATAAACTGATAGTTGTATATAAGTCATTATGACACACTGATATTTCAGACTTCTTGTTATTTTTCATGGGAACTGATAAAACCCATTTTGGGCCCCTCTGCATTGAAATTATGGCCTCAGATCATTTGAAAAATAGCTTTTCTATGCAAAGCTATCTTGTCTCTAAACAAATAACATGTGTTCAGCCAATTTGTGGGCCCAAAACCACTCTTATCATACCTTGTCCTTTTGAGATCTAATGTGGTTTTCATGATAACATTCGCCTAGACAATCCACAGGCATGACCGAAATGTTTGTGTGGAGGGCAGAACAGGTCTTAAAACTGGTTCTGATCTCATACTCGCTTTCGCTCTTCAGAAACGTTCTGAAACATCCAGTAAGACAAATAGTATCTTACCGACGCTCTGTTCTTTCTATCAGATCATTATTATGGAATACTCACACAGCTCCCGGAGGGGGAAGTCGGTATTTAACTCCGTTAGTTTCTAGACGCCGAAGTTCGTAACGACCAATCAGTTTCGCGAAGGATTCCCAGTCTTCTGTCATGGCGGCCAGACCGGCCTCGGTCCCACTCTCGTCTTCCCATGGTGCTTTGTGCCACGCTCGCTCAGCCAATGAGAGCAGTCGAGGGAAAAGTCGTGAGTCAACATGTTCTTGTGTTCTGGAAGTTTCGCTCCATAAACAAGCTTGGAGCCCTAGGATCAAATGAAGTGAAAACGTGTTTAATTCGCAATCTTAATTTCACTTAATTTGATTTACTTTTTTGTTTCAAGTGAAATTCATCAGTACGTTTTCACTGCAAACAGACTATTGTTCTTGTCTATTAGAGACATGAGTTCTCGATAATGTTTCAGGACAAACATTTCGACACGGGAAGAAAAGGCAGAAACAAACAAATATTCCTTCACAGCGTGTTCGCTTAGGATATCTGACATGTCCAACAACTAGTTGTATGAGATAAAATCCAAAGCCAAATTATTCTACCAGCGTTCATAGTGTAGTCTACCTTTCTAAAAGCAATAGTCCAGAATTGTCACAGAGGTAGTCTTCACTCATAATGAGAACTAAACCTAGGTCTGCGACATGTCCAGACACTGGGAGCAGTGACCCCCGGGCCCGATTCCTCACATGGGTACAATGTGTGGAGCCCATTTATAGTGTGCCCCGCCGTGATATTGCTGTAATATTGCTAAAAGCGGCGTAAAGCCCAACTCACTCACACCAGAAGCTGATTATAGAAGAGCGAGTGAGTTAAGATTTAAAGTCATATTTTAGCCATATAGTGACGAGGATTACGAACGATGCCTAATAGGCATCTGTCCTCGAGTGTCCTAGCACCACCAACCAAATAGTCCAAGCCATGATGTCACCTTTAATGTACTGTTACCAATAGTGCAGATGTACAATTGCGTTTGAGAATATTTGCACCCTGTCTATTTATGAATTACTGTTTAAAATATATGTTAGTTGTATTTTATTAGTTTAAAGTACTGTAGCTTTTACCGGCAATATTTTCTGGTCTCTTCAAAGGGGGACAACTCTCGTCATTCACTCCACACGCTTCCTCCCTCTTCAGGGCTACTCCAGACCGTCTCACTTTAATCAAGGAGTAGAGGTTTTCGGGAGTAAAGCTGAAAGATTTCTTAGCGTCAGTGTATCTTGTTGCCCAGTAATAGCCTCTTTCCTCTGGGTCGGGCTCGTAAGGATGGTCGAAGTAGAGGTGGGAGGCGTGAGCCATTACGACCTTCAAGAAAAACCAATGAGCAAGCAATGTCAAAAATCCACGGAACACAAGAATTGTTAGCCTAGTCGTTAACGCGTAAACCCGGGTTCAACGTATTGAAACCCATTTCTAGTTGCCCTGCCTCTATCTTGCCTGAATATTGCACTCACTCCTGATAGAGCAGAATCTATCCAAATCCCAATATTCACTATTGTAGCTGCGTGGTTCCGGGGCGTGGGGTAGCCTAGTGGTTAAAGCGTTCGCTCGTCACGCCGAAGACCGGGGTTCGATTCCCCACATGGGTACAATGTGTGAAGGCCATTTCTGGTGTCCCCCGCCGTGACATTGCTGAAATATTGCTAAAAGCGATTTAAAACTAAACTCACTCACTCACTCCCTGAAGTTCACACGATGATAAAGGAATATTTTTTTTACCACCATCCAAATCGTTATAAATATTGTACATTAATGCCAACTGGTTGTAACAATATTTTAGATACTATTTGCCTATGTACATAATCCCAGCAATGTATGGTTTGAAATGTAAGAAAGCAACGAATCTGTAACATATCCCAGATAATCTGCATTAGGCCTATGGACATTATTATGAATAAAGAATACGGATGTTGACTGTTATGGACACATTGGAATATGTTACTGGTAATTGTGATGACGCATAACTGGAGAACAATCGCAAAAACGCAGCAAATTGTCCACGGATGCAACTGTTGTGGTGGTTCTGTGGACTTTAATTAGCCCTGGACAGTGGATCCCATCCTGATCCCAACAGAATACTAATTGGGACTAACTATATGGGATTAACTAACTGGGGTATACTATATTTGGGATTACACTTTCGAGGGTGCGGGTTCGAATCCCGGATGGGACTCAACCCAAAAAAGTACTAAAATCTGTACTTTACTAAGAAAGTGTAATCCCAAATATAACATATGTTACATCTGACCACTTTCTATAATGACATTGTGTATTTAATAGCTTTCGGCCGTTGGAGCTGTGCCAATTCACACTTATCAGAGGGATACACAAAGTCCGCATTCTAGACTACCATGTTTTTGGAAGCCGCGCTGGCTGAGCGGTCTAGACGTCTGACTTTTTGTGCTGGCGAATAGGTGCCTGACTCTGAGAGTGTGGGTTCGAATCCCGGATGGGACTCAACCCCAAAAATACTAGAATCTGTACTTTACTAAGAAGGTGTAATCCCAGATATAACATATGTTACTCATCGAGTTTGTTTGCGACGGAAGGGCGGTGGGGTAGCCTAGTGGTTAAAGCGTTCGCTCGTCACGCCGAAGACCCGGGTTCGATTCCCCACATTGGCACAATGTGTTAAGCCCATTTCTGGTGTCCCCCGCCGTGATATTGCTGGAATATTGCTAAAAACGGCGTAAAACTAAAGTCACTCAGTCAGTGTTTGCGACGGGTTCGCACCTCTGTCGCGTTATATTCGCGCCTCTGTCATGATATGTTCGCGACGGGTTCGCGCTTCTGTCGCGATATGTTCGTGCTTCTGCCGCAAGTCCAATTTAACATTGAAAAATCTCAATCGATTTTATTACCTTGTAGCCCTTGTTGGCCATTTCGTACGCCCTCCCTCCGTTCAGGTTCTCCCATATGTTGTCCCAGGCGTAGCTGTACACGTCTTCGTTCTCAGCCAGGTTCCTGTCAAAAATGTCATTTTTCTGTTTCACGATACCATCTTCCCATACTGCCAAATTTAGACCTCTCGCAACCGTCAGATTGGCCAAACGTGTGAAGAAGTATTCCTTGACCTGCCCAGTGGACACTGTGTCCGAGCCAAGCAGGGTCTTGCAGGCTGTGGAGTTGACCCACGCCCCTCTACCAACCTCATCACCTCCGTAGTGATAGATAGTCAGAGGTTGAATGTCTTGATGTAATGCCACAATCTCTCGAAGCACATGGTCCATGAACCTGAACAGAAAGCATGTGAGGCCTTTGTTGTATTAATCGTATCATTTATCGACTGACATCAAATGTGAAATATTCCGTTATATTATGTAATAAATCGGCTGTGGGGTTGGCTCCTGGAAAAAGCGGTCGCTGAAGACCCGGATTTGATTCTCCACATTCTCCACAGTGCATCCAACCATTGTCTTAACAACCATAATCTAAGTCTAACCAACCATAGTCTTACCATAGTCAACCAGATCAAACCAACCATAGTCTTCAAACCAAACCATAATCTAATCAACCATAGTCTTACCAAAACCAACCATAGTCAAATACCAACCATAGTCTTACAAACCAACAACATAGTCACCATACCAACCATAGTAGTCAAAGCAACCATTATTGTCCAACTAATCCATAGTCTAACGAATAATAATCTATCCAACGATAGTCCAACCAACCATATTGCCAACCAGTCTTATCAATCATAGTCAAAGCAATTATTGTCCAACTAATCATAGTCTAACGAATAATAATCTATCCAACGATAGTCCAACCAACTATTGCCTTATCAATCATAGTCTAACCAACCATTGTCTTACCAACCATAGTCTAACCAAGCGGGCATAGCCTACTGGTTAAAGCGTCCGCTCGTCACGCCGAAGACACGGGTTCGATTCCCCATATGGGTACAATGGGTGAATCCCATCTCTGGTGTCCCCCGACGTGATATTGCTGGAATATTGCTAAAAGGGGCGTAAAACCCAACTCACTCACTCACTCACTCACTCACTCACTCACTCACTTACGTGTAGGTAGACTCAAGACAGGGATTTATTGAGTTGTCCGTAAACATCTGTGCAGTGATGTATCTTGAGGTGTCTCCTTCTTCAACCAAGAGGTACTTCCGGCCTTCCTCCTCCCGGCCTTGACCTTGGAGAATCTTAAACCTCGCTTCCATTGATTTCACAGCGGCGCGGGAATGCCCCGGCATGTCAAATTCCGGTATGACTTGAATGTGCAGTCTGTTTGCTTCTCGTAGAATTTCCCTGTAGTCGTCTGTTGTGTAAAACCCGGAACCGGAAGTGGAATCTGTCGGACCGGAACCAAGTTGTGGATATAGGCACGTCATTTCTGTGAGATCGAAGCACCTCCTGGAACCTATCTGAAAATATCGCATTAATGCTTTACATGAGTGAGTTTAGTTTTACGCCGCTCTCAGCAATATTCTAGCGATATGGCGGCGGTCTATAAATAATCGTGTCTGGACCAGACAATCCAGTGATCAACATTTATTGTTGATGAATGCTTCTATGTAAGTTTAAACATAAAAGGTATTGGTATCTAGAATCATTTTATTGTATTCGAACGTCTTGATTACAGGCCGCCATTACATGTATTATTATTTTTAATTATGCGGAGTGCAACGCCAAAACGCACACACTTACATGAACGAACGTAATTTTCAAGTGTTCCCAAAACATTAAACCAGATTCAGATTTTACTCATTAATTTGTGGGTTACAGGGAAAGATAGTGGCTGCTGGTTTCATCGCTAATTTGGGAGGCACTGAAACTTGAGAGGATATTTACCAGTTCTTGTAGTGAGTGAGTGAGTTTAGTTTTACGCCGCTTTTAGTAAGATTCCAGCAATATCACGGCGGGGGAAATCAGAAATGGGCTTCACATATTGTACCCATGTGGGGAATCGAGTCCGGGTCTTCAGCGTGACGAAAATGTTGAAGACAAATCCGGAAGTATAAAGATGTTTCCCTTAATATAGGCGAGTATTTCTAATCTTTTTACACAAATCAGTTTAGGACGCCCAGTATTCCAAGCAATCAATTCAAATGTGTTAGCATATCCTGAGACTTCACTATATTGTTCCTTTATTTTCAAATTAATGTAATTCTACTACAAAAATATACTCTAAACGAAATTCACTACTCGCTAGAGGTTCCTTTCTACCTGGGTGAGTTCCTCCAGCCCTGGAATCTGCAATCTCCAGCCCTCGTCTTCAGACAGGTGAAGGTGGAGCTTGTTCAGTTTGTACATGACCATATTACCCAGCAGCCTTAGCACTTCCGATTTAGGATGGAAGTTCCGTCCAACGTCAAAATGGAGGCCCCTGAAGATCAGTTACAACATCTCGTCATTTGTCAAGATCACATCTACAAGTGCACTCACAAAACTGAATGACTGGAGTATATGCTATATCATGTGACGGCGCCCTGTTTGTAATCGAGTAATCAGTAAGATGTGAAGGCGCCCTGTTTGTAATCGAGTAATCAGTAAGATGTGAAGGCGCCCTGTTTGTAATCGAGTAATCAGTAAGATGTGAAGGCGCCCTGTTTGTAATCGAGTAATCAGTAAGATGTGAAGGCGCCCTGTTTGTAATCGAGTAATCAGTAAGATGTGAAGGCGCCCTGTTTGTAATCGAGTAATCAGTAAGATGTGAAGGCGCCCTGTTTGTAATCGAGTAATCAGTAAGATGTGAAGGCGCACTGTTTGCGCCCGACGCCCTGTTTGTAATCGAGTAATCAGTAAGATGTGAAGGCGCCCTGTTTGTAATCGAGTAATCAGTAAGATGTGAAGGCGCCCTGTTTGTAATCGAGTAATCAGTAAGATGTGAAGGCGCCCTGTTTGTAATCGAGTAATCAGTAAGATGTGAAGGCGCCCTGTTTGTAATCGAGTAATCAGGAAGAACACTGCTCAGGACAGGAATCTCACATAACTATCGTCCGATCAGACAGAGTTTAGAATTTTTGTGAAATGTACATAAACACTTGCAATTATAGTGGGTGAGTGACTGAGTGAGCTTTGATTTACATGGCGTCGGTTCATTACATAATTGAGTCAGGACAAAAAAATCCAGTGATCAACAGCATGAGCATCAATCTACGCAATTGGGATACGATGACATGTGTCAACAAAGTCAGCAAGTCTGACCACCCGATCCCGTCAGTTGACTCTTACGACCAGCATGGGTTACTGCAGACCAATTCTAACCCAGTCATCACGTGTTTGCGGATACAGGAATGTGGCAGTAATACCTATCTCTACAGTGTTAATCTGTTTGTTTGTTACTCTTCCAGCTTTATTACGACCGTCTGTAAATATCCCGAATATTCATGCTCGCTGATGCACGTATCCCAGTTGAGTATATCGATGTTCATGATATCAGTCACGGTATTGTCTGGTCCCGATCCCGATATCGCTGGATTTGCCGTCAAACAAAAGAGAATCACGATGTCAATCACTGCATTGTCTGACCGAGACTCCATTATGTACAGGCCGTCAAGATATACCAGGAATATAGTGCGGCGCTGAAGAAATCCAATGTGGTTTCACCACAATGCGTAGCGATTCAATATGGCGTGGTCTTACTGCTAGTCCAGATACCTGGGCAGGCAAAGATTTTTAAGGTACACTCGCGTAACTTTGATTCGTGGATATAAGGGAAGTGCGGCGGAATTCATATTTTAAATGCATGATTTCATTTTGTATACGCACTGATAATTTTATTCATTGATTCAGCAAATTGATAATGCCTAATATTCCACTCGTGAATGAAACGTTTGTTTACGGAAGCCATTTGCAATCATCACCCATTCATGTGCCCACAAAATGTGACGTCACCTTGTTTCGTGGATTACGTACTCGGTTACTTTATACCACTGTGTACGACATCCCACTGTAGTAAGTATTGACACCAAGGAAAGCAGACAACGAGAAGTGAGAAGGTTGGAGCTAACGCTATCTCTACTTGACATTTTGTAAAAATAAATTTGGCAAAGGTGGTATTAGTGATCTGGGGATATTTATTTCAATGCTGGACAATTACATTTAGTGTACTTGCGTGTAATCCAGAGATTCGGAACTGTTTTTGTCAGCGAGGCGTGGCATTGTATGTACATCAAAAGTACCGCTTTGTGACGTCAGTCGAGACTTAATTTACGAGCTAGCATAATAATTTCCGCGATCCACGAATCAAGGTTATCCACGAATTTAGGTTACGGTTCTGTATATCAACGGAAACGTTTTCTGATGCGACTTTTCGTTATAGATTTTTATACCGTTGTCAAGCAAGAGTATCAATAGTGCTTGACAATTGCAAAGGTATAAGAATCTATTTCAAAACGGGTCTCTACTGTGGTGATCTACCTTCAGCTGTTGGCGATCTACAACCCGTGTTTTATATCGTATTGTCTGTCTTTTTTAATTAGAATGTTTTATATTCACATACTAGTTTTATATTCATGTCTGTGATACTCTACTAGTTTTACTGTCCATCGTTGGCATGTTTACCCATCAGAATGTTTTCATCTTGACAGCATTCTGACAACGGTACAAGAATCTGTATCGAAGTGTCGCACTCTCGTAATAAAGAAGTTTGTTTTTTTTTTTTTTTTTTTTTTTTTTTTATTTATTTATTTATTTATTTATAAATTTGTTTTATTCATTCGTAATAAAGAAGTTGTTATCCATAAAGTTTGTCAATTTTGTACTTCCCAGCTTCTAAAATGGCACTCAAAGAAGTTTCTATCTATACATCAATGTCTAAAATGTCAATCAATCACATCGAGAGTGTTTTCATATAAGATGTATCACCTGTATGCGTATCTCGGCGAGTCAGTGATGTCCATCTTGTAAATCATATTTCCCCTCTGAGACATGAGGCTGAGCAAGGTCTGAGCTCCGTACATCACCCCCGAGGCTCCTTGTCCCGTGATTTCAATCACTCGGTTGCCGACATCTACTGTCAGTCTGTACGCGTCGGGGCTGTTCGGGATCCCTCCCTCGGGAACATCAACGTTGCCAATGCGCATGCGTATGACGTCATTTCCTATGTTTGCTCCACCGAGGTCAATATTTGACATCTCTGAAAAGGTTGGTTTAACAAAACGTAAACACATATAACAAAACATAAATCGTCAAAATCAGAGAATAACCACTCTCGATTGTACGATAATATGATTTTACGGAGTGTGAGTGAATGAGTAAATATGGTTTACGCCGCGTTTATAGTCCGTTTGGCTCAAAAGCGGACCGATGAATTGCAACTCGAAAACTAATAAACATAAAATACTCAGTGAAACGCTGATCATAATCAAAACATCATACCCACTCTGTGAGGTTTTTGCTGAATTTTTGTCCTAAAAATATAAAAGTTGTCTAACAATCTATCATTAAAATATTGACACAGTTCACTATTTGTTACGAGGGAGGAGTTCAGAGAAAGGGACAGCCAGGTGTTCGAGAAGCACGTTCACAGACAAAGTTATTTATTCATTTTGTCCCTTTTTTGTTCCTATCCTTTCTTTCTTTTGTTGGTGTGACTCGGGACGAAACTTCCCTGATACGATGCTGTATTCACAACAGGAGGCAGTATCGTGAGCTGAATGCCAACACGTTTCCAGATAAAACACTCGGACACTTTTCAGCTTTCGCGTGAGTGAGTTTTGTTTTACGCCGTTTTAGCATTAGTCCAGCAATGTTACGACGGGGGACACCAGAAGTAGACTTCAGACTTGGTACCCATGTGTGGAATCGAACCCGGTCTTCGGCGTGACGAGCGAACGCTTAAACCGATTTGGTAGTCCACCGCCTCTCAAACTTTGAGTATGAACTCACTTGTATCTTTCATATTGGGTAGACTTAGGTTTCTTTCGTTACTAACTTCATTTACTTTCCTTGGGTCATTATATATTTTTACATCTATAGTAACCAATTATCAAAATATCTTTTGCTTAACATACAGAATCAGCAAACGATGTCTGCATTGTTTGCTGCAGATTGGATCCTTAATGAAATTCAACACTTGCCAATGAGCAATCAATGGCTGTGTGGTTATACGATTGCGTTTTGCATGACCATAGGCGGATCCAAAGGGGGCAATTAGTTGAAAGGCGCACACACACACACACCACACCCCACACACCCACACACCCACCCTGAAAGTTTATTAAATAACCATTGAAACTCTGGTGAAAATGAAGTGTGCACCCTCCCTTTTCTCAATAGTGTGCACCCCCCTTTCTCAAAAAGCTGTATCCGCCCCTGATGACTGTTTGTATATACATCGGCCTCATGCTACTAGGTCGGTAATCTTGACCTTTGGATGGGGTGGTTAGTACAACTGGAAATAATATTCCACTGGGTACAGAAATAACAAGCACATTTTGTCTCCGTAAAGTCTATACTTACGTTTGAAGTATTCGGCTTCGTTAGATAAGCCGTCCAGAGCATACAGCCTCCATGTGCCGTTATTGATGGTCAAGCTCTGGTCCTTGACCACCGTCATATTCAGGGGCTTGGGGATGACCCTCACTTCTCCGTTGTCAGCGGGATGGGTCAGGTGGTTCCGTCTGTATCTCTCCTGGGGGGTGAAGGGGGCATATTTGTCCGCCCCGTATCGTTTCACCTGCTGCGGTTTTATGAAGTCATCAACGAAAGATAAATCTTCCCCAACAGTGCTTTCTATCACCTTGGGTGACAACCCCGGTGCCATCAGGTACCAGTTCGGCATAATGCTTGTTTTAGCAACTTCCCAGTACTGCACATAAAACTTTATTTTCCTGCTTGTATTAGGCGGAAGGTCAAGGAACTCGTCCGTTGGTTCAAGTCGAAAATGGGAACCTTGCAAATGGGTGACCTTGACCCCTTGACCCTCTAGGACAACCCCTTCTGGTCGGGGTAAGACATCGGGTTCTATCATTCGGATGCAGTCGAGGTATATATTCCATTGGCCGGTTTTACTCAGAGTGTATGACCCGTTGTTTGTCAAGGTCACTTCCGCGAAGTATTTGTTGTCGAATTCTATATTGTCCTTGACCTTCCATCTGACCTGCAGAGTCTGGGCGAAGTTGTCAAGCTGGTCTTGTGTCCACACCTGGCAGCTGACCAGTGCTGGAAGACAGAGCAACAATAAGCGGTTTCATCATAAAAAAAGCAATCATAACCCTCGGTCATCGAAAAAACCCACATGGTTTATAAACTCTGTCTCGAGGACACATATAGCGCACATATCCACGCACTAGTGCATGCTCAAGGCGCTGGTATTTTTTTCCCTCGATCATTGGATGTCAATTTCAACGGCACATTGTATTATCAATCTCAACTCCCCAGGAATCATACATCTCTTTCAGCCACTAAGCGCACCGAGTTATTGCGGCTTTCTCATCCTTACGAGGTACCCATTCACAGTTGGGTGGACTGGGACACATAGTCACAGTACTTTGTACACGTTTACTGCACGTTTCTGTACCCGCAACTAGTTGTTTGCACGTATTCATGTGGCCACCATCTTCATTTACCAACGGATTCGTGGGTTCTTTGAAGTGCACAGGGTTGTGTACTGTACACTAGGGGTTGTGACGACACTGAAAGAGTCTGCACACAAAGCTGACTCCACATTTTTACACCCGGTCACAGGTGGACTCGATTCCGACACCTCAAGCTCGCTGGATTACTAGCCTGGCGCATTAGCCAGCTCGCCCCTCAGCAAGCTCGCATGCGTCAACAAATAATCGAACCTCGAACATGTGGTTGATATCATCAGCGTTATAAACACCACCATATTCGGCGTTTTTGATCTCGTTTCCATCATGGTTGGATTTAAACACAGGGCTATCGCGTCGGTACACTAAAAGTGTTCAACTAATTGTTTCTGTCAAAATTAGCTCTGGATATTGCCCTGATTCTCATATTGCGATATATTGCAATAATTTAAGAGATATTGCAATACGTATTGTGATATATTGACTGGAAGTTTCTGCCTAAGTGCGTACATCATAAAATCATAATATATAGATTTCTGTGTGTGACATCATCTTCTTAGTTGCTGTTACACCATACTTTCAGGCTCCCTGCCCCCATTTTGTATGGCTGTATGCCAATGGTTTACCGATAAATAAATGAGTGAGTTTTGTTTTACGCCGCTTTTACCAATATTCCAGCAATATCACGGCGGGGGACACCAGAAATGGGCTTCACACACTTTACCCATTTGGGGTTTCGAACCCGGGTCTTCGACTTGACGAGCGGACGCTTTAACCACTAGGCTACCCCACCGCCCCTACAGATAAATGAACTGATATAGAGCCTTAATGTGGAATGAAGTATTGCAAAACAATTTTGCGAACATAATGATAAATATAATAGTATAGTATGATGTTCGTGGTCATTGTTGTTTCCTTCAACAGAATGGACTTCAATGCTGTATGTAATTATTGTTACTGTATTTCAAGTGATTCATCTCCTATATAAACATGTGTTAACATGACAAGTCAAAACATTGATTCAACTACAGTCTCGTTTCCTGTTGAGTGGGTTCCGTCCTATCGCGCAACTAATTACAATAACAGTCCTGAATTTTGAGACCAATTCATTTAACTAGAAACATAAATATTGATCAGTTTTATTTGATACATCTAAGCACTTGTATATTGCAACACTACGCTCCTTATAATCCTTGCAAACATGTCTTGCAGCGTGCACTGTCGTATAGCGAGCACTGACAAACAGAAGCCTGGAAATCGTGGAAATCTCAAAACGAGGCTCTGCCGCTAGAAATGTTTGGTGGTCTGGTACGGACTTGATATTATATCAATCACATTGTGCATTACAGAACTACACTGCAAAAAACACATAGCAGGTGTAACCAGTGAGCCAGATGCATTGTGAATTATGTTACGACCTCATCAAACTAGGGCAGTCTGTGACGTCTTAGTTAATGTCATGCTGCCTACACCTCGCCATAAAATATAGAAATACGATGTTATTAAAGTTTAAAATTGAAATTCATTTGTAAATACCACTTTCTTATGAAACAAGGAACTGGAATTTCAGTGTAACCATAGTTGTTTGTGATGTCTATTTTCACTTCCACACGAGAAAATTCGGATCGGCTGAAAAGTAGGTCATTGTCTGAATAAATAAGACTCATGTTTCGGTTTGACTGCAAAATGAAACAAAAACATGATTTACGTGAACTACTTGATCTTAAAATCTTATGTGACCTCCATTAACTAAGATCCTTGACTAGAATGTCATTATACAGTCCTACAAATGTATAAACCCGTGAAGGTCCGGGTTAGAATATTGATCTTCAGTAATCCATGCTTGTCGTACGAGGCGACTAACGGGATCAGGTGGTCAGCCTCGCTGACTTGGTTGACACATGTCATTGGTTCCCAGTTGCGTAGATCGATGCTCATGCTGTTGATCACTGGATTGTCTGGTCCAGACTCGATTATTTACAGACCGCCGCCATATAGTTGGAATATTGCTGAGTGCGGCGGAAAATTAAACTCAGTCCCTCACTACAAATGTATAAGACTTAGGCCGTTATGATAAATTCATAACATATTTCCCAAAATGAAACAAACACTAACAAAATAATGTGAATTGTGAAATGGTCACTCAGAGCCAGAGGCTTTACTATTACTAAGTCTAAATAGAAAAATGGTCATTTTGAGGCCACTTAATTCTAAAAATGTCACATATGAAACCATTCAATCCCACAAAACTTAAAGGAATTTGGAAGAATATTTGGCACACCACTTATAAATATACCACTTGTAAAATATTACATTAAACCAACAGAAGTAAAAGTATATCTGGCACTTTTAGAGCATATTCTGTTGTTTAATGGTCTCTAGACTGACCATCCTTGATAATTTGGTATAGGTTTCGATACATCTCCTATACCCCGGATGCATCTACGGCTCTGCCCCTTGATTTTAATACCTCCCATGACTGGCTTTTATAAATACGCTGGGAAGTTTTACCATCACAACCACTTGTATCTAACCGTTTAAACTTGGCAACATAATTGCAGAAGTACTCTGAAGAGGTAGAAAGAGTGGAAAGGTTTCAGAGACCTGTCAATGATTTCCCCCAAAATCTGAGATTTCCCCAAAATATCTGCGACCGCTATCTTTGATTTAGAGCTTGGTTGCAAACCTTCGCGGCTCTTAGTTGTTTATTGGCTACTGTGAGAATGCAGTGCCAGCAAAGGGAAGTAATAAAAATATCGGGGGCCATAGGTGCATCCAGGGTACTAGTGGAGATTTATTGGAACATGAAACCCCGGAGATTAACGAGGATGGACTCTGACTAGAATCTTGAAAAGTATAACATTTTGTAAGATATGATAAAGTATATGGAAACTTAAAACTTGTTAAAACTAAGGCGCATCTGCCACAGTAATTTCTGTCAAACTGTACACAATAAACCGTCAACTTTATCCACATAAGTGGAAATGCACCGATTACCACAAAATAAACCGTTAAACTAAACTTCAGTTGCACATTTTATTTTGTAATAACAATGTTTCTCAAACAAACTGTCACTTCATGTTTTTCTTCAGGAACAGAAGAATGTCAAGATTATCAATCCGTGAAGATCCGGGCTAGAATTGATCTTCATTAACCCATGCTTGTCGTACGAGGCGACTAACGGGATCGGGTGGTCAGGCTCGCTGAATTGGTTGACACATGTCATAGCTTCCCAATTGCGCAGATCGATGCTCATGCTGTTGATCACTGGAATTGTCTGGTCCAGACTGAATTATTTACAGACCGCCGCCATATAGCTGGAATATTGCTGAGTGCGGCGTAAAACTAAACTCCCTCACACAAGATTATCAGGTTTCAGTGAAGCTCTGTTGGGCAGATAATTTAAAGGGAGCTAACTCTGGATGACCCAATATATTGCAGAATCTGAACCATATCGTGATTTTCGTATCGCGAGATACTATACCGGTTTATCGGTAATAATGCACAGTCCTAGTTAAAAAGGTTCACGCACATGGTAAAATACGCTAAATTGTCCGGGAACTAATTTCTTTCACTCGGCATCTGTGTCCACACAGGTCCGGAATATGTCCGAATTTTCACCGAGTCAGCAAAACAAGGACCAGAACATCCAAACGAACTGAGTTACTTCCCTTTGCTCGAAAATGATCACGGCACACACAATCGCCCCGGGGTTTTGAAGGAAAACCTAAATCAACTGATAGAGAGAGGCCTTTATTCAACGCTTTAGTAATTTATCCTGTGATGTCGACGCGGGTTTTGAGTGGACTTGCCAACTCTGTTTTCCTAGATAGTTCAAGGATTTCTTAAGCACACAGCTGATGTAGACATAAGGGCGGGTATTGGCTTAATATCAACCCGAGCTTGCGTCGTCAAATGTCCAGGGTTGATCTAAAGCAAACGGTGTAGGTGAGGTTAATTGGGGTAATATACGTTTTAAAGTAAATTTATATGAGTGAGTGAGTTTAGTTTTACGCCGCTTTTACCAATATTCCAGCAACATCACGGCGGGAGACACCAGAAATGGGCTTCACACATTGTGCCCATATGGGGAATCAAACCTGGGTCTTCGGCGTGACGAGCGGACACCTTAACCACTAAGCTACCCCACTGCCCCTAAAGTAAAATGATTATCGTATCTAATGCAGATTGGTATCGGTTTGATATATCCCTTGACCTGGGCCTCCGCTGATTACCCGTGAAATCCTGTGGTGGTGGTGGTGGAATTGGGTTTGACGTCGCGCTCGAGAATATGTCGCTCATATGACGACGTGCATGCGTGTATATGTGTGTGTGCGGCTGCTTGTACTAGCCCACTGAGATACCATGCCGCGGTGAAGCATGAATACCCCACTCAGACACATTATACTGACTCCGAGCCGACCAGTCCTTGTTGTACCCATTAATGCCGAGCGCCAGGCAGGGACCAACAAGTACCATATTTTAACGTCTTTTGGTATGACGCTGTCCGCACTCTAACCACTACACCACGGAGGCGTGAAATCCGGGTTAGAATTGGTCTTCTGCAACTCACGCTTGTCGTAAGAGGAGACTAACGGGATCGGGTGCTCAGGTTCACTGACTTGGTTG